AGATATGACACACCGAAATCTTATCGACCGATAGCACCTCTAAATACAATGGGTAAGCTTCTTGAAAAACTGATAGCCAACCAGATCTCAAAGGCGGCCGAAGACTTTAATCTCCTTCCAGACGAACAGATGGGTGCTCGACCCAACAGGTCCACGATATCGGCGGTAGAGCTTCTAATCGAACAGATTCATAACATATGGGGTAGAGATAAAAACCATGTCGCTTCACTTCTCAGCCTTGATATATCAGGAGCCTTCGATAATGTCTCCCACGAAAGGCTGATACATAACCTGAGAGTAAAAGGTATTCCAAGGTGGATCAGCCCATTTGTAGAATCATTTCTCGAAGAAAGAGCAACTTCGGCAAATCTCGGGAATTACATGGGAAAACGTATCTACACCAGCTCAGGAATACCACAAGGCTCATCGCTCTCACCGATTCTTTTCCTCTTCTTCGTCAGCACGCTCTTGTCGATACTTCAAACTTCTTGTACCTCGGCATTTGGATTTGTTGACGATACTAACATACTAACATGGTCAGGTACAACCGAAGAAAATTGCAAGAAATTAGAGGAACAGCACGTGTTATGTGAGGCATAGGCAGAAAAGAACGGCGTGAAGTTTGCGCCAGAGAAGTACCAGCTCATGCACTTCACACGTGCAAGGAAGCGACACAACCTTGAAGCAACTGTCGGCATACGAGGACATCTGACGTCTCCTCATTCTCCCCTTCGAGTCCTTGGTATATACTTCGACCCTAAGCTCCAATGGGGCTCCTATGTAAAGCATATCCAATAAAAGTCACACACCCAAGTACAGTCAATAAGTAGATTGACGCAGTCAACTTGGGGTGCAACATTCAAGAAGTCAAAGCTATTGTACAGCACAATAGTGAGACCAGCCCTGACTTATGGGTGTCCTATATGGGCTGCAGCTGGGCCATCGGGAAGGATACCAGAAAGGATAGTCAAGCCACTGCGAAGTATCAAACGAAAATGCTTGAAGCTTGTTACAGGGTCATGTAACTCTACCAGTAGTAGGGTACTTGAACACGAGTCTTCGGTTCTCCTGATGGATATCTACCTAAAGCAAAGGAGGGTCCAACACGTCGGACTCTCAGAAGGACTACCTGTCAGGAGATTGATAGTATCTGCGTTCAGCAAAGTCAAGCAGACTACAAGGGGAACAGAGAACAGGCACGCCAAGAATCGAAAGCAAGACATTGAAGAATGGACCAGAATTTGTGGCCTGGAGAATGAGAAAGGGAGACAAAAAGAAGCCGGTAAGGTGGCCGCGTTCCAGGAGTGGAAAAACTCATGGACACGTCCAGCAAACGAGATACCATCTGGTCATCGAGCTTCGGCAGACCCCGAACATTGGAAAGCCGCAAATATTATTACAGATGAGACAACTGGCAGAAAAAGGATTACATATAGAAACACACCCTCAAACATCGGGGGACTATTCTCAACACCTGTCAGTGGTGTCCCCTACGAACCTCCAGCTCTCACTGTAGAGTCTGCAGAGCCGAGATTGAGTAACAAAGTCCTCACTTCGAAGAGGATTCCCAATCGCTTTCGCGGTCTGTATCGTCTTCATCTCTCAACACATTCCCCTATCACCACTATCATGAAGCTAACCACGATCAGATCAGATGGTAGGGTCGGAGCCCTACTCGTCACCCACCCTTGATCATGGAGGAAAAGCCATCCGATGAGTTTCCGGAGCGTACCCAGCACCCGATAAGGAGATGGTGGATTGGATCAAGTCTGCCTCGAATGTTACGAAGAAGGGAGATGTAGATGAATGTGCGCACCTCTTGTGGTCCTGATATCTAGGCCTCGCCTGGCTGGGACTGCAGGTTTTTTGAGACTTTTTCCCGCGCACGCAGTTTCCATTGCTACCATTTTTATTTTTTTTGGGTAGAAGGTTCCGTGGAAAAGGTGGCTGAATTCCACGGGTAAATACTGAGCTGAATGGCTATTCATCAAGGGGAATATATCAATGATCTTTCAAGTAACAAAAGAGGATAGGAGCACTGTACAAGGTGTGGCCTGGGTCAGAGAGGAGCCCAATGTGCTAGATAGTCATAGACTCAAGTAGTACAATAAAACACACACACACACACACCCTCAAACATCCACCGAAACCTTAGTAGGGCCCAAAGCAGTATTGCAGTTCAGATGAGAAGTGAGCACATTGGTCTCAATTCTTAACTGTATCGAAGGAAAGTCCCCGGAGTGATTAATCCAAAATGTCAGTGTGGATATCCGTCTCAAAATGTCAAACATATAGTCTTGGCGTGTCCTCAGTGGGCAATGGGAAGAGGAGAGGTGCTTCGAAAAGCAAAATATAGGTCATTTGCGGCAATGATGAACAGCCCAGATGACATATAGAGAATTACAAAATAGATCCTGGCAAAAGGCTAGTTTGAACAATTCCGACTTGCAGGAGAAGTAGAAATGGCATTGGACGAAAGGATGAGACGATGTGGAAAAGGATAAGATGGATTTCACACTGTATAAACGGTGTAATCGCACTTCCTGTAAGAAACCTCTGAAAAAAAAATAGACACGAGACAGACAGTTGTAGGGGGTTTTTACTGAATTTGGTTTCCTCCTGTGTAAATATTATAGCTAGTTATACCTGCATGGGCCCATAGGGTACCTGAACGGGCTAAATGAAATCAAATCAAAATAACGATTCCGCTGCGCCCAGCTGACCAGCCTCTCCGAAATAGGAGAGCCTCCCCAACAGGTTTTAAGGCTTATCCCTGCATCTACACACCTATTAATTCATTTTATTGTCCTGTCTGAGTCTATGACTACCGTCAGACCCCTGTTAAGACGATCCTCGTTAAGACGATATTTTTTCCAGAACGGATTTCGTTCCCATACATTTACCGATTACACGAGTATCGTTCTTCAACCTCTGAATATCATCTTAATCGGGGTTTTTTGCTAGATTGGTGCTAACAATGCCGTCAAAAAAGGGAATTTCTGTGGAGCAACGACTTGCTCTGCGACGATGGGCGCACCGCCAGGTCCCAAAACCAACACAAAAACAGTGCATTGAGTGGTTCACCGCTGAGTACGGCCATCGATTAAGCCAGTCCATAGTCTCCAAGTCCTTGAGCAAGACCTTTGCAAAACTCGACGAAGCTCCAAGTACTACTGCGCTACGACAGCGAGCTGGAAACTGGCCTGACCTTGAGAGTATTAGAGCGATTAAAAACGGCAAATGGGAGAATAAAAGAGGCATCAAAAGTACAAAGTAGCCTAGATAGCTGGATTAGATAATGATATCCTCTATGTGACGATATTTTTCACGGCCCCGATTACATCGTCTTGACAGGGGTCTGTCTGTATGTAGGACATGTAGATCCTCTCTGCCTGCAGGCCAAGGATACCTATACAAGTAGTATATCCCCTCCTATGCCTCCCATACAGTTCCCCTCAAACAATATCACCCCTCACAAGTCTTCATTCGATCATTCACTTAGAGGAGCCCTTTGTCTTTCATTGTGTTCCCTCTCCAGCCAACCAAACGATAGTCATTTATGGGTGTGTAGCAGCTTGGAAAAATCGAAAAAAACCACTAGATGCGGGACTCTCCTAGTACCGACATCAGATCAAAATTCGAAGATACAGTTACCCTTCAGAAACGTTTGAGGAGGCCGGCCAGCTGGGCGCTGTAGACTTGTGGGTACCTATGGAAATTAAGATTCTGCCTTTCTAGCCTCCTTCCCGCAGGTCATATTAAAATATCAGAAAGTTCTTGACAAATTGTAATTGCTATATTGTAGCTTAGCCCAACTTCTTGTGTACCATCCGGAGCTCTGGGGAGTTCGGTTGACTCATCGAAAATAGAAGTCCTCATAGCTAATTACCCCAACCCATAGCCTTGGCACACAAAAATGTTCCACTGTTGAAAACTCTTCGAAAATAACAGTTCCAGTATGGTAATCAGAGACCTCATCCACATCTCAGCCATCTGTCCTTCCTCAAGATATATAGCCCTATTGGAGCAACAGTCCTACAAAAACCAAGGCCCGAGCTTTGCATATTATGGTTTAATTTCCTCTTTGCGGGTATAGGTAGCGTTGTAAATTTATAGTTGGTGGTAGCCGGTAATAAATGAGACAAGCTCCTGTTTACAATTACGGGACGTCTTTATCGGTCGTTGAGGCAAAGTGGTGCGCGTGGAGAGGTTAAGTTAGAGGACTCTCGTGAGAATGACAAGACCGATACTAATGAGAAGTCGCCGACTATAGATGTCCTTGTGTTTGATTTCGACTTTGATTGGGATGCGATTCTGCTTGGATATTCAAGATATGAGGAGCATACTGAGCGATTACACCGGCACCATTGGAAGGTGAACAATTAGTTTTTGCCGGCACTGTTACAGGATAAGCCCGTGTGTATATGTTTTAAAGATCTCATCGCGATTCAAGAGTGAATGTACGATAATGACTTGAACTTAATCACCTCGTTCTAGGATATTGTGAAGGTTAAAGTCATCTTTTCAAGCCAGATGATGCCATTAATCTATACACTCAGCTAAGTCAGTAGAAGAGACCTGAGATCAGCAGACCAGAGCGGCAAAAGAAGTTGACTCGCCGCTTGCATAGATTTGAGCTTGTTGAAATGGCTGTTTATTCAACATGTATAGTCACTCTGTGCGATTCAAAAGATTTATGCGTACATTAGTTTATGCATTACAGCATAATCAAGTTTAGGGCTTTTCTCCAGCCTCCTTGTTTCTGTTCTGCGCTTGCTGGATACTGCTAGTTTTATGAGCTTCGTGAGTCCTCAAGTTTTATTTTGTTTACAATTCTTTCCAGCGATATCGACCTTACCTTTAATCTTTGTCATGATACGATAATAGCTCTCCTCCTGCTCTATTCATAAGCATACCGACGCGTGCATAAAATACCACACACCCGCTTCTCTACTGAGCAATCAGCTTTCCGCGCAATTCGAATCCACCTTCAAATTATTATGACCTCAGTGAACAATGGTCAACAGCTCAAATTTGAGGCAAACCGAAACGGAAGCGTGCCTAAGCCTAAAGTTATTAGCAAACGATTTTCCGACATACCCTCGGCGATTGATATACCAGTTCAAGGCGAAGATGATGATCAAGCTGTCGAGGTCGACCTTGAAGACCTCTTAGATGATCCGACCGAGCTCTGTACCCTTCTAGAGAATGAGGGTGCTGCGCGAACGTATTGGATGACAGTATCACTAGCATATGCCAAACAAAAGAAAGTCGATCATGCCATCGAAATTCTATTAAAGGGCGGCCAAACCTCCCTAGGTGGAAACAAAGATAAACTTAGCATGCTTACTTGCCTTTGCTGGATGTACTTATGGAAAAGTCGAGAAGCTCCTAGAGTAGCACCAGAAGATAGTACAGCTAACTCATCTGTAAAAAATAAGGAATTCTATCTTCAACTGTCTACATCAACATTAAATGAAGCCTCTCGTATTGATGCAGCATTTCCGCCATTATTTCTTGCTCGTGGCGTTCTTCTATTACTAAAAGCTTCATTACAGCCACCCTCAAAACCTGCTGCAAATGGCACCGTACCAACAGATAAAGTAGAAATTTTACGCGCATCGCTTAAATCGTTTGAAGATTCAATTCGGGCCTCCCAGGGTAAAAATATGGTTGCGCTAATGGGAAAAGCAAGGGCGTTATATTCTCTAGGAAAGTTCGCCGACTCATTGGAGGCATATCAGGAGGTACTTCAAAGAATGCCAGATTTTATCGACCCGGATCCACGAATAGGAATCGGATGTTGTTTTTGGCAGCTTGATTTCAAAGAGGATGCTAAAATTGCTTGGGAACGCGTCTTGGAAATAAATCCTGATTCAAAGATCGCAAATATTCTTCTAGGCCTCTTTTATCTCGATGCTAGTGCACATGTTCCTATAAATAGTGCTGAATTTGTTCGACTCTACAAAAAAGCAATGACAGAGTATACCCAAAAAGCTTTCAAGAAGGACAAAAATCTTCCATTAACATGTGCAACATTTGCTGGATATTTCTTATCGCGAAAGTCTTTATCGAACGTTGAAACTCTTGCGCACAAAGCAATTCAAAATACAGATGTCAATGCTATTGCAAGCGATGGCTGGTACCTTTTAGCTAGAAAGGAACATTACAGCAAAGTACTTGATAAGGCTACCGACTACTATCGGCGTGCTGACGAAGCTAGAGGTGGAACAGATCGCGGCTATCTACCTGCAAAGTTCGGCGCTGCCCAATTGTCGGTATCTAAAGGCGATCTAGGTGAAGCGAAATTGAGGCTAGAGAAAATCATACAGCAAACTAAAAACATAGAAGCTATGATCCTTTTAGGGACAATTTACGCTGAAGAAGCATTCAAAGGTCCAAAACCGAACTCAAAAGACGACAAGTCATCCGAATTCAAGAAGGCCACTGGATATCTTGAGAGTGTCAGATCAGCCTGGAAAGATCCAAAAAAAAATCTAATACCAAATACATCTGTCCTCCTTAACCTTGCACGACTATACGAAACAGATCAACCAGAGAAAAGTCTGCAATGTTTACAACAGGTAGAACAAATCGAGTACGACCAAGTTCCCGAGGAAGAGCGTCCCAAAAACCCGGACGAGGAAGTCACCTTCAGGATAAACTTAAGAGAAAATCTTCCCCCACAACTGCTAAATAATATGGGCTGCTTCTATTATCAGTCTGACAAAAAAGAGTTAGCCCGTGACATGTTTCAGTCCGCCTTAAATGCTTGCGTCAAGGCTGAGGAAAAACGCGATGATATAGATACTGATGCCCTCGTAACTACAATCAGTTACAATCTTGGGAGAACCCTTGAGACAATGAATCAGCTTGACGAAGCAAAAGCTGTATTTCAAGGCTTACTGCGTCGTCACGGTGATTATACTGATGCCAGGACGCGAATGGCATACATTGCCCTCTGTCAAAACCCAACCTCAGAGGGCCCCAAAGCAGTCGCATCTCTCTATCAAAGTTCATCAGCTGACCTTGAAGTCAGAGCTCTTTATGGATGGTACCTCGGAAAACTTCATTCTCGAAAGCGTAACAGCAACATTACTGAGGATTCCGAATTACGTCACTACAAACACACACTACAAAATTATGATAAACACGATAGATATGCGTTGATAGGGATGGGGAATATCTATCTAGCCGCCGCTCGCGAAATGCGCCGTGAGACTGACCAAGAAAAACAGAAGCGCAGTAGTTTATACACCAAAGCAGTCGAATTTTTTGACAAAGCTCTGCAACTTGATCCCAAGAATGCATACGCAGCTCAGGGAATAGCTATTGCTCTTGTTGAAGATAAGAAAGACTTCAAAACAGCACTAGGAATTTTTATCAAGGTTCGCGAAACAGTCAAGGATCCTAACATATACATCAACTTGGGTCACATCTTCGCTGAATTGAAGCAGTGGAACAAAGCTATTGAGCACTATGAAATTGCAATGCACAAGGAACGGTCTCGTGATCCTCAAGTGTTGGCTTGCTTAGGGCGAACGTGGCTATCCAGGGCGAGAGCAGAAAAAATGTCTCTGAGTGGGTTGAAGAGCGCTCTAGAATATTCACAAAAGGTAAAAATGAGTAAATCCTACTAACAAGTCTTCGCTGATCATTTGATAGTCGCTAGAGGTGGCACCTAATCAAATTCATTTCAAGTTTAATGTTGCATTCATTCAGATGGCTATTGGGACAGCTGTACATGGGCTAAAAGAGGGCCAGAGAACTTTGGCTCAGGTTGAGGAAGCAGCTGCAGGGGTCGAGGAAGCCATCAAAAACCTAGATGAGATCGCCAATCATCCTCAGACACCGTATCCGAAGCACGATATTGAACAACGTGCCAACATGGGTAGGAATACTGTTCGCAATCAATTGAGCCGCGCACTTCAAAACCAAAGAGAGTATGAGGAGAAGAATGCCGAAAAGCTACAAGCAGCCAAGCAAGCACGAGATGATGAGTTACGGAAACGAGAGTTGCAAAAATTAGCAATTCAGAAAGCTGAACAAGAGCGAAAGCTCAAGATTGCCAAAGAACGGCACGAAATTGCTGAGCGTGATCGACAGTTAGCAGAAGCTCGGGCAGAGGAGGAGAGAAATCGTGAAGCTGCTGAACTCACTACGGATAGCGAAACAGGAGAGAGAATAAAGAGACGGAAAAAGCCCCGTGCTGGAGGCATGGGCGGAAAGCGGAAGAAAAAGAACGATCACGGTGCATCAAACGAGGAAGAAAGCGGGGCCGAGCCGCCTAGGCGCCCACGTAAGACAGGAAAATTGGCAGCAAGTGGGGCTGATAGTGAGGATGATAAGCCCAAGAAGAAGCGTCGGCTTGCCAACAAGAAAATCGCTGAAAAATCTGGCAAATTCAAGAGTAACGAGATTGTGGTCGAAAGTGAAAGTGAAGAAGAGATCAGGGCCACAGACTTTGACAAGGAAACAGATGGCGTCTCCGGTCAAACTCCGACTCCTACCAATATGGAAATCGACGAAGGAGTATCAGATGAAGATGAAGATTCTTTAACGGTGGCTACCCAGAGGAAAAATCGTCGTACGGCTCGATTTCTCGATTCCGATGACGCGGAATCGGAGGTTGATGGGAATGAAGCGGCGCCGCCTTTGACCGGGGCATCCGACGAAGATGATGACTAGCCCATTAGGAGCTACGGAGCTTAAATGCTGTTTGATATTACGTAGCCAGGCTGTAGAGAGTGATTCTAATGGGTTTCGTGGGTTTGGACGGTCAATAGATACCATCGGATGTCTGATCTATTCATTAACCTTATATTCCTAGCAGGTCGATGCGGAAGGACGGCATTAAAGTTCACGAGTAAAATGTGTTTACTGGCGAGAGATTAGGGCTTGCGCAGAGGATTAGGAAAACTGGGCGGTAAAGCTAAAGATATCGAGTACTAGAAAATGTTCGAAGACAGCTGGAAAAGCCTCTACTCGACTGCGCCTGCGCCCATGTGTCATCAAACATGGGAGCGCAGGTCACAGAGTAGCTGCCTAAGTCACGAGTCTTTTTCGAGGCAGGCTTCGCAGAGCATTTGGCTATTTCGATGAAACAGAGTATGCGATAGGGTGATTCCAGGTACGTCGGCACGTGCCAGCTTTGCGGGGGGGCTCCAATTTTAGCCTGGGCTACGTCTATCCGCCTTACCCGAGGAGTTGAGGTCGGAGGTTTGACCTGTCCAATAGCGATGCAGCCTCGCGAACCGAGCTCGATCAATTATCCGCGTCTCGAACGATTCCGATTGGTAGCGCGAAAATTTCCGAGGCAAAGCCTTACACTGTTTAAAAATGAAAAGCTCTTTTTCTTACAGGGTCCCCATGGCCGCAAGCATCCACATGAAAGGGAACTCGACCACGAACCGCAATTCACACTCGTACCCGCTGAGACGCTTGTTCCCGCTTAACAGGAATCTCCCGCACTCTCCTAGTTGCGACCATTTATCGAGAAGACCTACGTATAGAGTAGCCACTCTAGCCTTTCTGCACTAAATGTGTAGCCTATATTAACCCCCTACTCTCTCCCAGGATAAAGTTTTATGAACCACTTCAAAAATTGTAAGGACCACGTTTATTCCAATAATTCTTGGTCTAGTCAGGACTTGCACGTTCCTCATATCTCGTGTTGCACTAAAAGCTACGTGTTTAGGTCTTTAACGACTGGGACAAAGCATCTACCTGGGTCGAAGCTGGTCTGACTAGGCTAACTAAGAGCCTAGACCTACAAATGATTACCTCTTAGAACATTATTCTTTTTATATCTTCCACTTAGCAAAACTAATTAGATACCCTGAAATCTGGGTCCTACAAGCCACCACAATATTCTGGGTTGAAGAAAAATTGTCATAACTACGACCTCTATTTTCGGTAAGCCCTGACAGAAAACTCTTGTGTAAAATTATTGCCGCCTATTGAACCAAATGTCATTCCGCTCTTCTCTCTCGACCCTGGTCTACATAAATGTTTCAGTCATTTGGCTTGGGATTTTTAAGAGTGAATATACTCCAGGTGTGTTCTAAAGGGAATTGAATAGAAGACCTCAGAACTCCATCTCCTACACCGCTTCAATTTATTTTTAAGCTTTTGTCTCAATCGACTGAACTACTATTGTTATCATGTAGAAGGGTTAAACCTTGTGTTCTAGTTTGTGAACTTCCAGGGTAGGAATCCCGTCGATTCCCTCCTAGAGCATTCTTTGAATATTTAATTGACAAATTTGCCTTCAACTTATCTTAAGAAATTTCCATTTTCCATACAATTGTTGATCGGCCTTCTAACCTTATCAAATACCTTCATCGTCCCGAAATAACCTGACTGTCGCCTAGAGGGATATGTCAACTTCAATATATCTAGGGTAAGCTGCTTGATCTTTTATTTCCTACCTGAGTACCACATTCTCGTCTCTCTATCATCTTTTATTGCTGAATTTGCAATGGTAAATGCTGTCCCCGGTTAAATTTCTGGACAACAGACCTCTTCCGCTCGCCGGCCTAGAAAAATTTAGACTGGATTGTTGGTATAGGTTGAGATTGTATATATACTGATCCACCTTATAAGGTTGACATTGGAGATAACATGAAACTAGAATCAAAGTTGCCGGACATGTTGTGTCTAGAAATAAGTATTTCCGAAATAAGTGCAAGTTGAAGACTAAAAGAGAAGGTCTAGTCTTCATTATTACTGCAAGTAGGAGTGAAGGCGATATAGAGGATAGACTTTTTTTTGAATCACATTGTATTCAGCTATCTAACTATGACAATAAATTTAAGAATAGAATTTGAAGCTATAAAATGCTGATAGTGAAACAAAATTGGATTAGCCAACGGATTACTCTATGGTTATTTCGGATACGTTTTTTACGCTACACCTGGCTTCGCCATGAAATAGCAACGTAATATAGTGATGTTATAACTAAGGCAGTAACATGAGTACGGTGGAAAAACAGTTAACATTAGGATAACATGCACTTGCGTTATGATATATGATCCCATATCATCACTAATCGGTATGAATAGAAATAACCCAACACATGCCTGACGGGATACATTGACTCTAAGATCTCCGACAATTTTCCTATTTCGGTTAGAAAATGAAGTGTGTTGAATTATATACTGGTGTACGGAAATCCCGCTTTCATGTTAGTTGAGGGACTTCTCGCCACACAGATAGAAGTTTAGTAATTCACTTACAATTAGCTATCCATTAGACATCAGTAGACTTCGTCATACAATAAATAACTTCATCATAACTCGAACTCATTCTCATACTTGTTTTGCTTTTCTTCCAGTCTCCAGAAATATTCTGATGAGTAAAATACGTCATCTTGAAGTCGTTGACCCCAATAAGGGCTCAGTATGACCGGGAGGATGAATGAATCGATGACACCTAGTCATGATAATTTACAAGCATCGGAAAACATAAAATTTGCTCAGCAGCTGAATGTTAGGAGTGGCAGACCTCTCATGCCCTCTTTGACCACATGGAGTGTACAGAGGTATCACCATAGCTTACTAGTATGAGAATCTCGACTATCGAGGGCTTATGGCGATATAACTTGCAACAATAATCATTTCTCTGCGCTTTGAGGAGTATCAATATTGCGGCTTTGCAAGGAGTCATCGTGTCAAGTCAGTGCGTACAGGGATATCAAAGACGTCTACATTTTATTTCTTTAGGTTCAGACATTTTTCTTGGTATGCCTCGACGCCCTGAGCGGTTGCTCTTTAACTATTATACGCTTTATCTCGAACTTTTACGGGAGGGCAAAAACTTAGTCACTTCACAATCTTCTCTTCGGCTTTATTCGAATATCAAAGAAATGTTGTACGCCGTAGAGCGCTGTGTAGTATAGCAGTAATGAGATATCCTGAAAGATGCCCGTAAATCTTACGTCTACAAGGTTCGCACCCTGGGTCGTCTGATTGACACGAAGATTCGAGGCCACAGACCAAAGCAACGGTTGATATTTTCACTCAACGACCTGCCCACACTTCCTTACCACGCCACTGTGTTTCCGAAAGCTAGCAAGATGTGAGGGCACTACAAACCTAAGATAGTTTTTCTGTGGATACTTCTGAGTCCTCAATGGGTATTTGGTCATATTCTAAGCTCCCAAGTAGTCCCAATGAAGCACAAAAACTTCTCTTTCAGACGACAAAGCTCCTCTTTGGCATATATTCTAGGCAATCGAAACGGAAGTGGAAGAAGTGGCTCAAGGGACCGAAAGTGCGCATGAAATACCATCTGATTGTGAGAGCCTTAATCGGAAGTGGAGGGTTCGATTTGCAGATAATGGTGAATATGGAGATGAATGTTTTATTCGCGAGAGAGGCTCTTTAGGCAGGTATTTTTGGGTTTGACAAATATCATCCTGCGCCTCAGGGTCTCCTGGAACGGATCAGGGAAAAAGATAGTAGCAATTCTGCCTCATTATCGCCTTGTAATACCAGTGCATTGGTCTCTACGAAGGCCTGAGCAAGATTTGGCTCCGAATCCATGTCAAATTCTCGAACATTTTAGACGCAAACATCTTTTTGGCCAGCGCCGGGTCGAGGCAGGGCCGGCATAAGTCACCGTCGCTATGATTCAATTCGTCTGACATGCCCTCGGAAGATCTGTGTACCCGAGGTTCGTTGGCTGCAGGAAAATTATTGTACTGTAATGTTGTAGCCTGTACCGCGCGATAGGCCAGGGCCTCTTTTTGATGTATGGTCGTTGCAGAAAATCGGCAAGTAGTCACGAGAGTTCGCCCTGTCGCACGTGCAGCCAAGGTCTGCCGCATGGTTTCCAACGGGCCAGACGGGTGGTTGTTTGCAGGCTATCTTACAGAGTTGCGTGGGTAGAGGAAGGGCAATGTATGATGGGTGTTGAGAAAACTAGCTGAATTTGCTCATTGAGTTTCACAGATGCGCGCTCTAGAAGTTTTTGCGTTTGTGGTAGCAGTGCAGGGAGTGAAGAGGCGCCGTTGTGGACGGATGGTGTTCAGATCTCAGGCTGAAACGATGGACCTCAGGGCGTTTCAGGTGGCGAGACTGACCCGAGCACTGCCCGCCGACCTGAGACGCTACCGTCAGGGCTACGACCGAGTCGGCGGACTCTAGCTCCCCGTCATGCCCTGCCTGTATATCACATGACCAGAACTACTTACCTGCGACCTGGCTCTGAAACTTTTTCGCTGATTAACTGAGCCGAGGTAAGTCGTCGGAATCTCCACCCGTGATCAATATACCCGACGCGGTAAGGTGTCGGGCGACGGCCACGACCCGCTTAGCCATCATTCCGTGAGAGAAGGATCCTATCGAATTCTAGAAAACAATCAGAATTCGCGTGGGACTCTTTCTCATTGACCCCATCTCAGCAAGGACTACAGTTTAAATCTCTGCTTTGGCCCGAAAAGTATACTGTACTCATGTGGACCCCGGGTGCAGCGGCAAGCAAACAGCTGCTCGGCCCTAAATTATCTACCCCCCTGACAAACAAATGGCCCAGGCACCAGATATTCCGAAACCAAGTAGAGAGCCTACCACATCTGAAAATTGACAGTGCCTTCAGTTTCAGCGATCGACGACGCGATTTTGCGGGATGATCGCGCATGCGAGTTGACGACCGGTGCGGCCTATATGGACGGTCGGGCTAAGCGCGGTTTGACACGCGTGACGCCCGGCCTGAACCTATCGTTCCTCGGCTTACGCCACGTCTGTGGGCCTGGCCTATGGTTGGATGGTACAGTGGTACATTATCTAGTCTGCTTTCCCAAATGTTATGTGGATAGCTTAGAAACCTATCCTATTCGAGACAGGAGATGACGGGTTCGTATCCAGGAATTCTCGATCAAACTTCTTGTCGTGCTCATCCACAGGATATGAAGGCATACTTTGATGACCAATTGTCTTGAAACCCTCCTCTAATGGCCACTTACGGAAGTGGCTTAACTTTTTGGTGTAGACAAACATGTCTCGAAGTGTTGCGTGCAGGTGCCATCCAGATCATTAGTGTTCACGAGAATTGAATAAAAGAGCCTGGACCATCTCATAAGTCAGCCATCAAGCAAGATGGTCTAGGTTTCAATGTAGCTACGCTGTGGATCTACGTTCGTCTCAGCTACCATGCATGGCCGGATATTGGTCTGATGTGACGAGGAGGACCGAGGCGTGGGAAGTATGGAGAGAGATTAGGTTCGTCAGAACATGGTATTCTCCAAGTGCGCAGCGCTTGGCGCCATGTAACCACCAGCAGTGTTATCCATGCCCTCGCATCTATCTGGAAGAGAACTATGGCTTCCCTTGCCCTCGAATGATGAGGTGACGGAGTGGGAATTTTCTACATCGTTGTCAGACGTTATTGTGCATGTAGATTCCAAATTGTGTCTGCGGCGAGTGTTTGACCGGTTGTCTCTCAATCTACTAATTGCCCCGGCCTGCTTCTCGACTAAATTCTAGCAGGCCCTCTCAACATGCGGAATAGTGTACTCTGGTCTTGTTCCATGTCTGGTTGCAGGTAGTGGGCTGTGCGTTACTCATGGTTTTCCACACCAGCGGCGGACGGCCTGATAAACTTATCAGCTCTTTGTAGATGCATCAGAATTCTGCTGGCCAGATTAAACGATACAGTGGCACAATGATTAGCCTGTATTGAAGTTAGGTTTTGGATGGTTGTGACATCAATCCCACTAAATATTTGAGCTCATCAGCCTAAAACTTGCTGTGCTCGTTGCAAGTGTGAGAAATGTATGCTTGAATGAGCAAAGGTCTTGAAACTTCACTGCGTCAGATAGTCTCGGACGAGAGTTGAGGGTTTAGTGAAAAGAAGCAGACTCTGTCGGGTGCTGGCTATCGATATCTATAATATAGGATGTTTTGAGTGAAGAGAATCATGGACTATGTGCATACGACGCAAATTTTTGCTTTTAGCTAACTAGTTGCATATTAAATGATTTGTTAAAAAATACCAAAAAAGTTTAGTGGTCTGTAGAAAACAGATTTTATCCTGAGTCTACGCTCTGCCTTGATCTTACGTTGAGATAATTTTTATAAGAATACAGAACAAAACTTAGCTATCGTTAGCGGGCCACAAATATTCTTCCCAATCTAAAATTCCCTTCCTCTCCCCACCCAGGTATTGAATGTAGTTCAAGCATTTGTTCGTCTGCCAGTGCAGTGTGAGAACTCATTGGTAGAGATAGCGTCCATGTCAACCAGTCAAATTTTTAACGGAGGCTACTACCAAACACTGTTCCCGGCTTTTCCGAGCCACCTACATGTCGCTTTTAGCAACGAAACTTGTGAATTGAGTACGACTCGCATCTCTCGATCTGACCCCTTGTAGACGGAATTCGGGTGACTCTAGGTCTTACGGATGAGTTGGATACATTGAGACCGGAGCAACGGACATCTTACCTAGCAGGCCGGTAGCGAAATTGTAATGGAAAATAAATTGTCAGTGGTCTGGGCAAGCTTCCTCCGCACTGGTACAGAGGCTGATAGACTAACGACCTTTCCCATATTGTCAAGCAGAGCTTGCTTATCGATTGAGCCCTGTTGAGTTCGCGTTGGAATGGAAGGTTACTTTTCAGTTACTCCCCGAGTCGTCATGCAACAGCTATTATGAGTATATCCTAATAGTCAATCTTCACCTCTCTTCACTTCAGTCCGGCAGAAGAACAAGTTTTTTCAAGGCATTGGCATAACTATTCCTGGGCCTAACCTCCATCATTACATCTGATCCTGAGACCTATTAACAGTGGGTGTCAGTAATACGCCCGATCTATCCGGGGGACTAAGTTTTCTCAAGGATGAAATCATGCAAAAATCCGCCCTCTGATTTTCTCAAGATATCTACTTGACATAGAATATGCAAAGATTTCAATGACGTCGAATAAAACCATTCATTTTGTGCCTTTTCTTTGACTATTTTCCACGATAGGTTTTACTATTTTATGGAACTACTTAGAGCTCTACGTATATGTAGAAAGAGTGTGATTTTGTGTAGTCTAGACCTGAGCCAAACTCTTTGTTCTCTTTCTCTCTCGCATGCATGCATGCGTGGGTGCGAGCGTGCGTGCGTATAAATTAGAAGAAAAAATTGGGATAATCTGCGTAAATCTTCGTAAAAAGGCCATCGTGGCTTGATCTACCATAAGACCGCAGAGGATGAGCATATATCTTTGTATCCGCGTCAAGAGATGGTCTAGTACACCGGGCGAGCCTGGGTCTTCTGAAGTTCCAACGCTTGGATATGAAGGTGATGATGCTCAGGGCCAATCTCTCTTCCCTGGCGCTGCATGGAAGTCGGTGGTCTGTGCCCAGGCTGACGACAGTCTTGGGAGGATGCGAGTGACCATAATCTGCATCTGCCGCCGTCTCTTCGACCATAATGAAGCTGCAAGTCTCCACAACTTTGACGGAGGGTATCCGGGCCCTACTCTGAATATGATGACTCGTGAGTTACCGACGTTGTGGGCTCCACGTCATAGGGTTTCCTCCAGTCCTCTCAATTCCGTCCTAACGAGTCTTGGTAAGTAGCCAGTTCCGAGTAATTAATATCTCTCCACTGAAAAAACAGCGCTGATACCTAGATGGCAATGTCTACTTGGTCGGTAGTTCGTAATGCAGTTGCCATGGGAAAGTGGCTCAAGAGGACATCTGCAGGCAGGACTTCACCGGTCCTGGCAAAACCTAGCTAAGGCTTTGATCGCAAAGAAGCTAGTTGGTCAACTATCTGAGGGTGATCCGTGCCATATCGCAACATGGCATACAGCGGTCGATGGAGTGCATGCCCAAAGTCATTTAAGCTTGACAAGCCCGGACGTCAGATGCTTATAAAGGGGGGCGCAGACTAGGGCAACGACTCCCACGATCAACCGCCGGCAGCCATCACAGGCCCGTCATGCCCTTCGTGAGAGCTCGTAGCCAGTGTGATGTGCAGCCCCTAGCCTTACGCATAGTTGTGGGCGGAGGATGCTAGTACAAAGCTAAACTGCTCAGCTACCCTAGATCCCCTAGCCGAGAATCAAGTAAAGGAGACCTAGCTCTGAACCCCGGCACGACAGTTGCCACTGTGTTTACAGCAGCAGCACGCTAGGCATGAGGCTTAGATCAACTCATCTACGCTCCCCGCTATTAGACTTCACCGATCTTGCGAGCCGCATGACCACTCCCATATCGTCGACGAGTTGGCAAACTTAGCGATCCTCATGGAACACACGAATTCCCGCTTTCGTACGACGGTTAGCATTTTAAACGGAAGAAGCTCAATTTGCTACGCAGGACAACAGAATCTTCAGATTAACACCGGGGCTGCATGGAACTGATCGACTACAGGCAGTTTAAGAGTTTCCCATAGGTACTGAAAGAATCCATAGTCGTATACCTTTATCTAGCCAGCTAGTAGCAAAGTGACAAGTGGGTGTTTCGCGGTGCACGCAGATCATAGGGCTATCCGTGCGTCGCCGCCCATCACTGTCATGACTGAAATTAATTAGACCCTTCGCATGTTTACAGAAACGCACTTTCGTGACAATCGTCACCACTCACCATGATTCCTATTTCTCTCGCCAGCATCAATGGCGGGGTCTCGAGTCTACTCTTCCCAGTATTGCTATGTTCTGGATCTACAGGGCCAACAAGCATTTAATCATCCGGTCTAATGTCGGACCCAAGCTGCATGCCCGGCGGACCTCAAATGTCTAAGCAAATTCAACAAGCCGGCATCATATCAAGTCTTTAGCATATCCCAGAGACATCAGGAGAATGATCTAACCTGTTCAGTCTGTGCTTGTTTCCGCATATCTTATTCGCGAGGATTCCCGCCGTTCGTGAGTTTCGCTCCGGCACGCTTGGGCTCCTCTACTGATATCAAGCCACCACATCCCAGAGAGATCCGTGAGAGGAAGCGTAACAGGGATTTTTTTCTGATCTCGTCGGTTGCTTAAGATATGCCGCCCATCCGGACTCGTTCCTCCTTTGTCACGGTTACTTAATTATCTCTTTTTATGTACACTACTCTATTATTTTTCACACTGTCGTAAATAAACCTCAAATTCGAAACTTTGAACCTTTCTCTATTCATCACGATAGAATCGTGCTGGAAATTTTTGGTGCTCATTTACTCTTCATCAAGGCTACACTGGTATTCTGCGCGTCATCGCGGAAGCTTTTTGCATTTCAAAGCTGCGCTATTACAAGTTCTCTACAATCGTTATTGCCTTTTGTTACATTCTCTAAGTTTCAGCCAAGGAAATCCAAACGATAAAATTACTACTACATCATCACATTCTTTCGATTTTTAGTTTGGCCCAAGCCACATCTTAATACTTCTTGTAATGGACGAAATTTCGACTGAAAAATATTCAGCTCACACATCTGGGCACGACTCTTCGTACCGAGAAACATCTCGAAGAATTCTTGGTGAATCCTCCAGATCAGAACTAATGCAAAATCAAGCTGTCGAAGGCAAAAAGGGGCTATTATCGAGAAGAGGCCACTCACGAACGAAAACATTATCTTCAATCCATCTTCCAACGGGAGTTCGAGACCTTACTCCCAGAGATGGATGGGGACTTGCCCGCAGAACAATCCCTCGGGCAGACAGCTTTCAAGTGCTCGGCTCCATCTTTTCTCGCAGCACCAAAAAGGAAAAAAAGGATCAGCTAATGGAAACAAACTCCAGTCTTTCGTCCAGCAATTCCCTAATGATGGAAACAGCGTACACTGAAGCGTCGAAGGATGTGAACGGAAGTCGCCAGATTTTAATCCCCAGGCCTAATGGACTACGTAATGTTAAAAGGGCAATTCAAGAACAGCGTTCCTATCTCGTGAATAAAAGTCGCACCGAGCTGGTCTCAAAGCACTCTAATTCGTCATCCATGTCTGCCTCCGTAGACCTAGACATAAATGATACTAAATATGAAAATCTTTACTTCGAAAATTTCTCGTCAGAATCATTGGGAATGAAGATCTACGATGATTTTCAATCGCCGCTCCTAGAAAAGAATCTACACATCCGAGAGAGAGCTGTCCTCAGAAAAAAACCGAAAAATGATGCAATTCCAGGCTGGCCCGCAAAGACGAGAAGAGAAATGATGACATGTCAACCGCCATGGTCTCCACCATCGTCCAACCCAAGTCCACGGGAGCAATTATCAAGCCGAGGAAACTCCCAGACATCTCTTTCTTCAGAAAATAGTAAAGGTTTCTATTCAGAAAATCCATCCGAGGTTATATGGAATAATCCTTACCCATTTGGCATGCCAACTCCGCCATCTCGATCTGGTCATCAAGAATTTTTCTCACAGACTAGTTGTGACAGCCCAACTGCATCTTACAAAAAACCTTGGCCATTACCTAACTCGATCCATACCCCAGTTCAAGGTCATGTGAAGCTTGCAAAGCATGAGAATTATGGATCTCTCTCTCAAAGACGAAACCAGGAATCAAGAAGATGTAGTCCAGCGCCCCAGAATGAAGCGAGTAATGCGGAAAGTAACGCGTTAGAATCGCGAAACCAAAGGCAAGAAAGAGAAGTCGCGCAAACTCAAGAGCAGATACCTTCACTTACATCTGAAACGGAATCAGAATCATGGGAATCTGATATTGACTGGTGCTATGAACACGAAGTTGAAGCTGACTGTGATTATCAGTGGGTCGAAGATGGACAAACAAATTCTCAAGACGAATTGCCTCAAACCCCGGGAAAATTTCAACCTGATTATCTCTCAGTTCCGAATGAGGAATTTGACTCGATGAGTTTCAGCGCTTCACTTCTCTTGCCCATGCAGCTGGATGTTCCTTATTTATCATCACTGTCGCTAGAATCTTCAATCTACCCTGAATTATCCATATCAACCCGAGAACAACACTCGCCTCAATATCTAAGATCTCGAGCCGATGAATATAATGCACATTCGAGTTACTTGACATCAAATAATTGTAGAACACCATGTGAACAGGCTGTCTTCCAGTATGAAAGGCCTCGAAACAGAATGTCTCCGCAGATTTCCCCCCTATACCCCTACAATTCATCAAGTTATCACGGGAAGAATAGATCTAGCAGTGTACCTCTTAGCAACCAATCTCTGTATCAAACTACAACACGAAGCTCTTCCATTGCAAATATTCCTTCGGAACGTTTTCGGAACGAAGCATCTCTCGAAAACTTATCCACCAAGGTGGATGAGATTCTACCCTTGTTTTCTCCCAAACAAACATTTTTACCTACACCAAACACTGAACGTACTTTCTCTCCGGAACATTCAGTTAGACCTACTTTTCAGGGTCATCCCGCTAGTAAATGGGATTTGGGGGCCATGGGAGACGGCGAACTTACTCATAGTGTTGTTCTTACTCCGATGACTCTGTGTGGCACCAGCTCAGATGAGCCTATGCTAGAAAAGCCTTCTAGACCTGGATTGGCTCGACGAAAACACTCGATGCCCCTGGAATGTAAATCACGAACATCGTCTCTAGCACCAGCAAGAACGGGTAGGAGTTGTAGCTACGGACTGTTTCCACAGGTGTAAATTTTGATTATTTATGGTGATAGGTATGGGGCAACACTAGCGGGTTAAAAAGCTATGACTCTTTTATTTACGTGTGTATTTGTCTTGGTGCCCTACTTGCGCAGTATTACTATAAATTATAGATGAATCAAAATTTAAGTGATATTGAGTGTTTTTAACGTTACTCTGCTTCCAAATATGTCAACAATGTAAGAGCTCATGACGAATTCGATAGTCCTAGATACTGAATTTAATCCGGGTGCGCGAAGTAGAGAGTGGGAGGTTTACTAAGCATGTTGCATCGACAGTCCCATGGATAACCCCCGTTTTCCCAATTCGTTAAAAGTATGTGAGCTACCCGGAGTTCTGCGGACGTAACCATGGCAAGGTCACGCTATCCCTAGCACGGCTGCTTTGTTTACGAAGATTTTTTGAGAGCCTGCATTCTAGTTAATTGAGATTCACCGCCCTCAAGTGGATCTTCATACAAAGGAAAGGCTGGGCATCCTCAGATTAATTTTTCCTATCAGCAGTGAATCCTCTTTTATCCGGTGACATTGACTATGCTTCTTGTAAACGGACAGGGGGCGCTGTGCTAGTGTCAAGATTAAAGTTGTTCTGCATCTGCTCAAAAAGTCTGCGGCGCCTGGCTCGACGAATTCCTAGAACTCGCCAGCGGCGAATGACTTGCGCTGCGTTGATCGGAAATGGTACACGGCGTCGCAGGCGCGGATCTTTTAGACGTGTAGTGGAATGGGGTCTTGTGGGGTCCCTGCATTCGAGCTGCAAAGAGCTGGGGGTATTTTGAGCCCTGGGATCCTCGACCTTCAGGCTCGAGGATCTGGGATGAATTGTGGAGTCTTCGTACTAGACTCTCGACTGAACTACAGCACTTTTTCCTCCAAGACAGTCTCCAACTCAAGATAGCCCTGAGAGTACTGGTCTATCCTTTTGTCATCCAGGAATCACCAGCACATTTATTTGCTCTGATTCCCCATTTCTTCACACTCGATATCGTGGCTTATCACCGTCGACTGTAGTAACAGCTCTTTCATTGAGTGAGTGGTTGTCCCAAGACTACCTATCCACTTACCATATGGCCTCAAGCTTCACAGCGTCAAACTAGAGTCCTATTTAATTATCCTTTCAATATCGAACTATCGGGGACTTGGGTATCCCTTCTACCTCGATAGTTTTCTATCTACTATACACCCTTGCGATATGTGTCCGGCGGGAAACCTCCCCAAGCACTGGGATTGCCCCGAGAGGAAGGAATTAGCACTGCGGGGTCACCTGGTTCAAGGCCTTAACCATGAAGAGATGAGTGTGCTTTCTCGATATTTCCATTTCCCCTCAAACAAATTAGCTTTGATGCACTTAAAGTTGGTCGCAAGGCCATCCTCTGATTACCGCCTCGAAAACTTCTACTTGGATATGAGACACACTGTGCCGCTAGGCTTTGCAGCGAATTTTAGTGACTGTGGTACTATGTACAAGTTACGGAGGAGCGACATCTGGCTAGATTGACTTATCAATAATTATTGTTTGAACCTGAATTAATTTTTTTCTTATTCAATAAATGTCCAAAGGACTATTGTATCTTCAGCCGTCCCAAATAATCATCCAATCTTCTCGTATGTCCTCCAATTTTCAATTCATTGCTTCATATACAGCCTAGTCAATCGACTAAAGGCACCGTGCCGGTACTTTATTTCGCCTGCATGGACATGGGATACACCTATTTTTTCCGATTATTCCGTGGCATTCTTCAAAATTGATGTGTCTTGATCTTGAAAGGAATGAGCAAGGTATGAATTTTCTGGAGAGATGTAGTATTCAAGGCACCTTTGCGTGCGCCAACTCGTTTGCCTTGTCTTCAAGTAGAGCCTCATTGTCCAAGATTATTAATTCATTTTATTGTTCTGTCAGAGTCTATGACTGTATAGGAAATGCAGGTCCTCTCTACCTACAGACCAAGTATACCTATGCCAGTAGTATTTCCTCTCCTATGCTTCCCATACAGCTCCCCTCAAACGATACCACCCCTCACAAGTCTTCATTCGATCATACACTTAGATGAGCCCCTAGCCCTTCATTATCTCCCCTCTACAGCCAACAAAACGATGGCCATTTGCGGGTGTATGGCAGCTGGGAAAAATCGCAAAAACCACCGGGTGCGGGGCTCTTCTAATACCGACATTAAAACTAGATCCGAAGACATAGTGCCCCTTCTGAAGCGTTCGAAGAGGCCGGCCAGCTGGGCGCTGCAGACTTGTGGGTACCTCAGGAAATTCACTCTCTGCCTTTCTAGCCTCCTTCCGACTCCTTTCCGAAGGTCGTGCTGAAATGTCAGAAAAGTTTAGACAGAGCGTGATTGCTGTATAGTAGCTTAGCCCGACTTCTATTGTGCCTTCCAGCGCGCTGGGGAGTGCCGTTGACTCATCGACAAAAGAAGCCCTCCTGGCTAATTAGCTGAAATCTTGGTCTTGGCGCCCACAAAAAATCCTAAGTTGAAAACCCCTCGAAAATGTCAGTCCCAATAAGGTCTTCAGGGACCCCTTTCCCCTCTCGCTCCAAATCTCAGTAGCCTGTCCTTCCTCAAGATATATAACCCCATTGGAGCAGCAGTCCCCCAAAAACCAAGACCCCAACTTTGTATATTATGACTTGATTTCCTCCTTGCGGGGATACATAGCGTTGTAAATTTGTAGTTAGTGATTGCCGATGATGTATGAAGCAAGCTCCTGTCTGCAATTGGGGTGACGCCTTTATCGGTCAGCGAGGCGAGATGAGGTGTGGTTAGATAGAGGTTTAGGACTCAGATGATAATGGTGAGTGCTGCATGATTGAGAAGTCGTCAAATGGAGATATGAATGTGTTTGCTTTCGACTTCGATTTGGATGCGATTCTGCTTGGATATTCAAGATATGCAGAGCATACTGAGCGATTACACCGGCACCATTGGAAGGTGAAGAATTCGTCTTTGCCGGCTATACCCGTGTAACTTGCAGTGTTTTAGTAGAGTACAGATGCCTGTGACCGTCCCATAATAAGTGAAGTCCGATGAGCAGCGGTCCGTGTTCAGCCTCGTCCGAGCAATTCTGCTTGAAGTGTAGATTCTCTCTACCCCACATCGTAAAGCTACTATAGTGTTCACAGTTGCTCAAGAAAATCTCGTACCCGATCAGAGACATCATGACTGCCACTAACGTAACTAACGTTGCGGTCACCAGAGCGCATGACTTTCTCAAATTTGTCAACGCCTCTCCTACGCGTAAGATCTGAGCAGATTGTTCTCGTTGATGAAGTTAACGGCGAAATAGCCTATCATGCAGTTCAGACGGCGATAAATCGTCTCACAGCCTCTGGCTTTTCGGAAATTCGGGAACGTGACTCATGGTCTTCCCTGCAGCCTGGAGGCAAATATTATCTGACTCGGAATGGTTCCTCTATCGTTGCCTTCGCCATAGGTAGCCAGTGGAAGCCAGGAAATTCCATATCTATGATTGGCGCCCATACGGACTCCCCATGTCTGCGGATTAAGCCAATATCCAAGAAGACAGGATCTGGATTTCTACAGGTTGGCGTTGAGACGTATGGTGGTGGTATCTGGCACACCTGGTTTGACCGGGATCTTAGCATTGCTGGTCGAGCCATGTGTAAGGATAGCAAGGGGAACTTCATGCAACGTCTTGTGAAGGTCAATCGACCAATTTTACGCATACCGACACTCGCTATCCATCTCGATCGGAGTACCAGTTTTGAGCCCAACAAAGAAACTGAGCTCTTTCCTATCGCTGGATTAGTCGCGGCCGAACTAAATAGAACCGGCAAGGATGAAAAAGAGCTCACGGTCGACCAAGCGGAAGGCGGAGAGTTTAAGCCACTGAAGCCTCTAAAAGACCGTCATCATCCTTTTATCGTGGAATTGATTGCACAGCATGCTGGAGTCACAGTGGAAGAGTTGATAGACTTTGAAATGGTACTATACGATACGCAGCAAGCATGTATTGGGGGGATCAATGACGAGTTGATCTTCTCACCACGGCTGGACAATCTAGGCATGACCTTTTGTGCTATAGAAGGACTTATCGAATCTGTTGCCTTACCATGTGCATTAGAGAAAGAACCTTCAATTCGGCTATCCGTTTGTTTTGATCATGAAGAAATTGGCAGCACCTCCGCTCAAGGTGCTGCTTCAAATCTTCTACCTGCTATTTTGCGCCGGCTTTCAGTCATTCCCTCTCATTCCCAGAGCTCTTCAGATAAATCTTGTGGGGAGCTTTCTACCCATGAAACACTTAATCTTGAAGTAAACACAGCCTATGAACAAACACTCTCGACGTCCTTCCTTATCTCCGCCGATATGGCTCATTCTGTCAACCCAAATTACGCGCAAAAATATGAGACTGATCATCGACCCGAGCTTAATAAGGGTACTGTCATCAAAATAAATGCTAACCAACGCTATGCGACCAATTCCCCAGGGATCGTTCTCCTTCAGGAGGTTGCTCGCCGTGCTAAATTTTCTCCCCACGTCGCCAACCCAACCGGTGTTCCATTACAGTTATTTGTCGTCCGTAACGACTCGCCCTGCGGGAGTACCATCGGGCCAATGCTCTCCGCTTCTCTCGGCGTCCGCACTCTTGACCTAGGAAATCCACAGCTTTCCATGCACAGTATCCGTGAAACTGGTGGAGTGTATGATGTGGAGCATGGAGTGAGGTTATTTGAGAGCTTCTTCACCAATTTTTCCGAGTTGGAGAGTCGCATTCTAGTTGACTAGAACACATAAATCCAAGGCCTTATCTTTCACTTTCATCGCTAAACAAGTATCTACGTTTAGATTCTGTCTGCCTAGCTCTAAATCTAGTGTGAATTTATTCCTTGGCCATAATATATAAATTTAGAACAACACCGGCCATAAGGCCATTTCAGATCACGGATCATTACGTGGTTCGCGAGATAACTTTTGGAATAAATACCGTAGGTCTAGTAAATTGGCTTAGAATGAAACATGACTGTTAAGATCTGAATGTCTAAACAAATATTGAGAAACAGGATGGGTAATCGTCGTATTTTGCTAGTTAGTTGATAATTCAGGAATTTGCAATTCGACAGCTCTATGTGGGGTTGCGTTTTCTAGAAAATAAGCGACCAAATGGGATGACAATATGAAGTGTAGTAAGAACAGATCGATTAGTATTGCACTCCCAATCTAGAAATCTAGATATGTAAAATGGTTCACATTATTTATTATCTGAGAGATAGCAAAATCATTGTTAAAAACCAAGCTAGAACCCTAGGACGTGAAGAAATCCCAACAAAGATGACACTTATTGACAGGATATACAAGTAACCTATGCAGTGTAACAAATATTCAATTAAATTGAGCGGTGCAATATGTCTCATGACTCGTTGAGATAAAAATGCCGTAGTCATAAACTAGGAATTGTTTGCGACACATTCTTTGCAGATTCGTGCGTAAATTGCAGATGACTTTTAACCTCTTATTGCTCTCATTGGTACACGTCGAATCACTTTCTTAAGTTTTGACCATTCCAGCTTAGGGCTTGCTTCGTAAATATAACTGTAAACTACGTCTTCCACACATGCCGTCCAACCCTCAGCCATAAGAATCTTCTACGCACAAAGCTCGTGATTGTGAATGTCCCAAATATCTCCTAGACACTCTGATGACGGGCCTGGCAAACAATTTGAAAGGACCTTTCATGACACGTTCTCCATCACGCCTCTTCAGAAATTTTAACGTGACCTGCAATCCGTAAGAAATGAGACTAAAATGAGAAGTTGGAAGCTGCATGAAAATAAATGCAAGGCTTGTCTACAACCACAAAGGTCTACAATATCAGAGATTACGTTTTATCTTTCCAACCCCAAAATATTGCCACATCCATAGACCCAGTAACTTCACCGATCAAACATTACTACACTCTCCCGTAATTGAGTAGATCCCTCATAGCTGTCCAGTGGCAAAAAGTGACTTTCACCTTTTTTTTACATCAGATTTTAATTGCGTATGCAGCTATCTAGCTATGACACAATATCAGAGAAGTGTTAAATATATGACTCAATTTCAAAGAAGAGCACTCATGCTTCGGATTTTATTTGCAAGTACCACTGCAAAGTTATGGTGGCTTTTTCTTCACCCCAAGTCAACCCTCATCCGTGAATACCCACCCAGGGAGACGTCTCAAAAACCCTGGGTTTTCCAGACATACCTCCATCATCCACTCACATTTTGACCTTCAACTCGTGGGAAAGAAAGAAAGGTGATGACGTGATGAAGTTAACTCTACGTATGTTTGGATGTTCATCGCGCTGGTTAGAAGACATCTTTTTTTTTTCGTAAATTCTATGTAGCATTTCCTCCGAAGAAGCTCTTCTATTTCTACCATTGGATTAGCATTTAAATCTTTGTCCCGTTCCATGGGAGACAAGATAAATCGGACAACATCAAACACCTGGGACAAAGATAATTTTGGCCTGATTATGTCTTAGAATGAATAACTATATAGCTTATAATCATTCAGGTAGTATTTCCTGAGTCGTGTGTTGTGTGTTGTGTGGCAGTCGGAGATCTCGATTGCGTCAGCTAAGATAAATGGCGGGGCTTTCCGCAGCTTGGTCAGTTCCCCCGCCAAATTTACGGCACTCGACCACTACCTCCAGCGTTAGTCACCGATAACTTTGATTGGGTCGTGATTCGGGGATAGCTCCATGAACAGATCGTCCTCCCCACTAACCTTATCGTTCATGATTCACGTCGTGCGCAATTCAATCAACTAGATTCCTGCCACACCTGTAGCAAGTGGAAGCTTCCGAGTTTAGTCACAGCGTAATGAAAACGGTAAGCGGGAAACAATGAAAAGATTTCGCTTGAAATTCAGTCATGTCGCAGGTATTTCACTACGCTACGCTACATTCCACGTCAAATCATCATAATGAGCACCGCGGCCCCAAGTCCGTACGAAATTCAAGTGCTGACTTCTCTCGAAACCCACGAGTTTGTAAAGCCGAATAAAAAGATCAATGACGAGCACGATGTATTAACCTTCCATACCTCAGAAGCCTACCGTGACATTTGCCTGCTTAACTTGCAGCTGAACATGGCCTTGGGCCCTCGAAAGCCAAAGTCTAATCTCGGAAAGTGACAAAGTTGGGAACTTGATACACCCATTGAGTTATAGCGACCAGTACGTCGATAACAGCAATTATTGCAAAGATGCAACGAAATTATTGACGAGGTGACGCCCGACACTGGACCTCGAAGATTTGGTAACACGAGCTTCCGGAAATGGCATGAGATCTTGGAACTGCGAGCCCGGAGTCTTTTGCAAGAATATCTACCGCCATCAGTGCTTAATTGTGGCAGCGGTAGTGGCAATGGTGACGATAGGAAGGTTTCTGTTCTTGATGAACTGACGCCTTATTTCATGGGTAGCTTCGGCAGCTCACAACGGCTGGATTACGGCACTGGACATGAGCTGAGCTTTCTGGCATTTTTAGGAAGTATATGGAAGCTTGGTGGCTTTAGTGATGAAGAAGCAGAGACTATGACTACATCGCGGAATATCGTAATTTGCGTGATGGAGCCGTGTGTATTTTCAGGTCTTCAAGATGTATCAAAATGAAATGTTGACGTGATGTAGCTATTGGCGTGTAATCCGACGACTTATCTTGACTTACACTCTTGAGCCGGCTAGGTCTCATTGAGTATGGGGCTTTCATAATCATTCATTCAATCCGTATATATTTGGCTCATCTCAGTACTGCCCTGCTATTGATGAGAACGAAACGATGCCAGAAGAGGGCCCGCATCCAGACACGCCAAGCCCGACCAGCATTTCCAAGAAGCCTGTTGTAGATATAGAAAGAGAGCGCAACATGTTTTTCTCAGTTGTAGGCTTTATAAATGATGTCAAGACGGGACCATTTTGGGAGCACAGCCCGATGCTATTCGACATATCTGATATACGCGCTGGCTAGGGCAAAATCAAAAAGGTTCTTAGAAGTGAAAGCATTCTTTGGAGATTTGGTTCTAAAGCATGCAGAGCATGATAAAAATGTACAACGCAGAAGTTCTATCCAAATTTCCAGTAAGAGGGATCATTTATCGATATCGCTCATACTCAAGGCAACTAGGTAATACAGCATTTTCCAATTGGCTCATTGTTTAGATGGGATCAGAAGCTACAAATAGAGGCTACCAACACACGGAGCTATTGGCCAAACATATTTCGAATGGAAGCAAGCAAGGAACCTCGTGCTCACGGCTTGTCGCAAATCGACAAGCAGACCAATGTAGCAGCAACATGGGTGTCTCCTGTGGTAATTCGAGTAGGAGGAAGACAAAACTACTAGACAAGCAACACAAGGTGCCAAGGAGAAAATAGAGCACCGAACCACTTTGTGAAAACGGTGAGGAAAAGATGGAGATGGAGACAGAGATGCAGATGTAGATTCACACTTGCATCTAAATGATACCAGGTTTCAAGAAATACTAACCCTACTCAAGTTTCAAAGAACTGTGGAATAAATCTTTGGTGACTCTGACTGACCAAGGCCAGGGTAGTGGAAACAAAGTATGGTACTTAGTATTGTCACTTTTGAAGCGTTTTCTACCATCCAAGAATCGATGGACAAACAAATAGCTTGAATGACTCTTCAAGTATTTAATAGATCGTTTTAGACAAATACAATGCGAAGCATTCCCTATTTGATGCTGTACTGCTGCTAATTGAAAGATTAAGAGTCAAACCCCCACTCATCCCTGACTCTTTGCCATCTAACTCAAAGAGCGTCAGGAAGTAAAGGATATACACTACCTTGATGTTAAGATAACTGGGATACTACATGCGGTTGCAGCCTCGGACGTAGACAATCGGCTGTGAGCTAAAAGACCTTCACCACGGAGCCTTTGAAGATTTGTGATATGCAGAGAGTATGGAATTGGTCATTTGCCTTTTATACGAAGCTATTTCAATCTATGTCGTGGATGAACGAGGACGCATGAATGGAATGTAGCTTTTTCACATTGAATTCATTGATGGTGGTTACAACATGTCATGCTAATAAACTTGTGACATCTTCACGTCTTGGATTCAAGCGATGAGAGTGGGAGTAAATATGGCTTGAGTAAAGTGTCACGACTTATAGACGCATCATTGAACGATTGGACGGCTAATATATCATATTTGGGAGAGTGAAAAGCCTTATGGTCGCTTCACACACAATACAGAATTGGTCTATTGACAGGAGTCTTATTATGTATCTTCTAACGCCAATACTGAGCTTGAGGCAAAGCAAAGTAAACTTCTGTCTCTAAAGTTAGCTTAGGGATCACGATATAATTTACCGGCTAGCTTAAAAATATCTTTGTTCGAATGATGAGATTTTTGGGCAGTATATACTAATGAGGATATTTCTGGCCAGGAAGATTCAATCCTGTATCTTTTCTCGGTGAAAAATGCTCAATAAACCGCATGGAACTCGCCTTTTTCCTTATCATTCATACCGAGACACCGTATCATAAGTCTCCTTTTGGCGCCAATTTATTTTCCCGGGCTGCCTTATTCAATTACCGTGGCAGTGTCAATACCACTAACAAAATTCACGAAATCCCAGAGAATATGGTCGATGGAGGCTCTGGAATCAACGCTGTAAGCATAAATACAATCGGATGGCAAGTTGTGTAGCCACTATCCTATTGGTTTAGCCGCTTCTTCCAAGCTTATCAAGCAACTTTTCGGAAGAGGCGGAGGC